ACAAAAAACTCCTCTATTACACAAGTAAAGCTGTCCACGGTGTTGTTTATTTTTGGGGGGCCTGCTCGTTGTTGTTGTTAGTTTGTTGTTCCATGGGAACCTCATTTGCCAGTAAAAATATGATAATTGTTTTTTTACCTTTCTATCTGGCATCTGGTCCAACCCATGTGAGACTAGGCTGTTGGCTATCAACAACAAGGCAACTCCTATGACTAATTGGGAATGGGACGCAAGCGTAGGATTGATCACCCTGTCGCTGGCCGCCTTTGGGGAGGGTGTATAGTGTGAAAGGCCGAAACACCCTAGGAACCAAAGGTTCACTACTGACGATGCGCTCCCCAAATTTCACCAGGCTCACTGTTCATGAACTCTTGGAAGTGCTTGCACAAAGGATAGTAACATCTCATCCTGTGTTCTTTGGAATCTAAGGAAAGCTGTCTCGGGTGTGGACCAATCAACTTCAAGGACAGTGCATACATTATCAGAGTTATGTCTTTTGTTTGTATTATGACTGCAGGTATTGTGGTCTATGCAAACATGACTCCTTGTAAAAAGGTGTCAGTTTTGTTGCCAGATAGAAGGGTAAAAAACCAATTATCATAGTTTGTTGTTGTTAGTGTTGTTGGTGTTGTTGGTGTTTAAGTGGGTTCGGGGCTGGTGTTTGTAATTGGTGACGTTTGTCGGGGACTAACGCTGCGATAGTTGTGCGTCAATGACGCCCAGCGTGAAACACATTCAGAAGAGGATGAAACTAATCACAAATAACAACAACAGCAGCAGGATTAATCCTTTTTAAATCCTTTATATTAAGTTCGCTTGCTTGCTTGCTTGCATGCTTGCTTGCGCGCTTACGACCGTGCAAATCTTTCGGTCGTTTTTTAACCCACTTCCCGTGATCCAATCGAGCTGACATTTTGCACACAGACTCGTTGTGCGTGACAATTAATTTTCGTGAAATTTTTTTTCCAAAATTTTACACTGTTTAGGGAAAAACATTTAAATATTTAATTACCAATTGCTTAATGCTGGCAGACAATCATCTGACCCATAGGTGGCAGCCATCTCAAGCCGGAGGACGAGAGGACTCTAGCCGCCACGCATATAAAGGATATAGAGTGAAAAACTTTGTTTTTACGGGTAAATTTTTTTACCCCTACAAGAATGCAGGTAGGCGTTAAGACGTTACAATACGTTTAACCCTTTCTGGCAATAAAACCAGTTGTGTTCAGATGTTAAAACACCAAACTGAAACCTTTTGCAAGGAATCCTGTCTGTGTTAACCACTAGTAATTGTGGTGCACATGGTAGTCGATGATGATGATGATGCTTTGTCTTTGAAAGTGATTGCTCCACACCAGAGACAGCTTTCTTTAGAGCCCAGTCTCAAACGGTGTGAGACCAGAGGACGACGCCACAAGGCGAAGACAGCACAAGGGCAATGCCACTGTCAGGATACTCGTTGGTTCTTTCGGTAAAGTCACGTAGGTGAAAAAAAAATAACTAAAAAAAAAATATTTTCAAATTTTTATTTTTTATTTTTAATAACTATTTTTTTTTTCACCCACGTGACTTTACCGAAAGAACCAACGAGTATGGATCCTTGCAGTCACGAAAACTTCAAAACTAGAACCACTGTCAGGACATTGAGAGCTCGGGGCGAGCAGCTACATCGTGGGATCCCCCATGCCACTAATCAAAATACAAGAATTGGTGTTTACCCTTCCTGGCCATGATAAAACAGTTGTGTACAGATGTTAAAACACCAAACTGAAACCTTTTGCAAGGAATCCTGTCTGCATTAACCACATACACTTGTGGTGAACATTATTTCCAGAAAGGCTAAAACTTATTCTGATATTTTGCTCGTGGCAAGGGAGGCGTTAAGACGTTCGCACACTCATTAGACGTCAATTTGCAGGGCACATCGAGTCTGCGTTCACCACACACGAGCTACGTTCAAGTTCATGTTCAAGTTCATTTATTAGGTATAGCCCTGTGAGCCATTCGGCTCTTGAATCGGGTGCAACCGCAACAAACAAAAAAACAAAAACATGTACAAGAAAACATCTTAAAGTGACTATGTGACTGAGTGCAAACAGAAGATCCAAGAAAAGACAGCAAAATATTGCAGAAAAAACACCGTACACCAACGCTGTGTGCAAAAATCCCAGTGGGATGCAAGTCAAACAACAACAACCACAAGACAACTTAGATTAAGGCCATCAGTCTAACTCTGTACTACAACAAACAAACATGGCTAAACCAATACACTTTTCGAAATCACCAAACTAAAGCCATGAAAGCAATGAAACAGTGATCATAGGAACTGTGACGGTATTTTCACAATAAATGGCATAAACAACATGTACTACCAAAACCCTGCAGCCATATCTGGCTGCATGAGTCACTCCACAACAGCAGCAGCATCAATCGGAGTATTGTAATTTTTCAATGCACCTTTAAGATCAGCACACTAAATCAAAACACACGTCATACTTTGCAGAGACTCTGGAGTCTTGAACCGGTCCTGGGCCTCCCCAAGATCGAATCGGCCTTGATGAAATTATTCTGAATTTGGGGGGGGGGGGTCACGAGACATCTGGACCAACCTGTACGCTAGCGAATGACGGCAATAGTATCATCGTCATCATCATGCTGTCGATGTTTTTATTTTGCATTGCGAATGAGCGTGTGCGTTGAACTTCTTTCGCACCGTACGTAGCCACGCCGTGCTAATCGGAGGTCCATCTCTTGGACCCGCTGGCCTCCGCTGCCCGTGCGCGTCCAGTTCGACTCTGCGTGACCTCGCGGTGGCGTTTGTATTATTCGCGAGGCTTCAGGCAGAGGTCGCAACCGGGTACCCGATACCCGTACCCTACCCGATACCCGGCTACCCGTACCCGGCCGGGTACGGGTAGCCGTTTGCGACCCTGGTGCGGCCGGGTACGGGTACGGGTAGGCCGTGAGTCACTGGTGAGTCACCGTTTGTCACTCATTTCGGGTAGGGTACAGGTACGGGTAGGGTACGGGTACCCATTTGCGACCCTGGTGCGGCCGGGTACGGGTAAGGAATCAAAACCCGTTTGCGACCTCTGGCTTCAGGTCGTGCAAGGCACACTGGGATCCCTGGATGCAGTGCGCCTCCTAATCGTGAACCTTGCCCCGTCCGTGCTTCTTTGACCGTTCACTGTGAACGTGAAATGTTATTGAGGGGATTGTGTGTGGGTGTTGTTGTTTCTAGATTTGAAGCTTTCGTGACTGCAAGGATTCATATTCTTAGTTTTTTTTCGGTAAAGTCACGTCTTGGTGTGTAGTCTGGGACGGTTATAACTCGTACACCTCATCCATCTTCACCACTTCCTCCACCTCCTCCTCCTGCCACAACCATCTCCTTGACCTCCTCAATCTCCTCTAACACAACCTCTACCTTGTTCACCACCACCTCCTCCTCTACAAACTCCACCACCACCACCACCACCACCACAAAATCCACCTCCTCCACAAACTCCACCACCGCCACCTCCTCTACAAACTCCACCTTCACCACCACCTCCTCCACAAACTCCACCACCACCACCTCCTCCACAAACTCTACCACCACCTCCTCCACAAACTCCACCACCACCACCACCTCCTCCACAAACTCCACCTTCACCACCACCTCCTCCACAAACTCCACCACTACCACCACCACCTCCTCCACAAACTCTACCACGACCTCCTCCACAAACTCCACCACCACCACCACCACCACCTCCGCCATAAACTCCACCACCACCACCTCCTCCACAAACTCCACCTCCTTCACCTTCCCAACAACCTCCTCCTCCACCACCTCCGCTACCGACACCGTCACCACCGCTTGCACCTCATCCACCTCCTCCATCTCCTCCACCTTCTCCAGCCTGACCACCACTACTACCTCCTCCTCGTCACCCTCCTCCTCCTCCTGCACCTCATCCACCTACACCACCTACACCTCCTCGATCTCCTCCACCTCCTCCAGCTTGACCACCACCACTACCTCCTCCTCATCACCCTCCTCCTCCTCCTGCACCTCATCCACCTACACCACCTACACCTCCTCCATCTCCTCCACCAACTACTTTCACCCCTCCACCACCACCTCCTCTACCACCTCCTCGACTACCTCGACCTCCTCCACCGCCTCCTCGTGTCTCCATCCTTCACCCCCTCCACCTCCACCACCTCCATCACCATCACCAAGACAAAGATTCCCCGTGTAGCCTGAACAGACTGTAGGGGCAAGTGCTGTTAGCGAGCAGCACCTATGAAGGCCGGAACGGCACACGAGGGGGTGGGTGGCTTGCACTACGTCCGGCCGCCTTTGTCTCCCCAGTGGCGATGTTTACTACACATCACACCAGGTACTCATTTGAGGCTGAGTCGACGAAGCCCAGGACCGGTTCAGATAATCGTCACTGGTGTTAGCCGTGAGCGGGAATCGAACTCGGGTCACCGGGTTTGTAGCGCAGCATCGCGCTCACCGCTACAATACCGCCACCACCACCAACCAAACACCACCAACCAACCACCACCAACCACCACCAACCACCACCACCAACCACCATTACCACCAACCACCACCACCACCACCAACCACCACCAACCACCACCAACCAACCACCACCACCAACCAACCACCAACCACCAACCACCACCCCCAACCACCACCCCCAACCACCCCCACCACCCACCAACCAACCACCAACCACCACCAACCACCACCACCCCTCTGACCAACCGCAGAGACTCTGGAGTCGCTGCTGCGCCAGTCCCAGAACGCGACGGAGGAGCTGTTGGCGCGTGGCCACCCGGAGTTGGGCCGCACGGCCACGGCGCTGCCAGCGGTGCGCCGCCTCTACGCGGCCCTGGCCCGCCACCTGGCCCCGGGGCCCGGACCCGCGAGCCCGGCCCTACGGGAGGCCGTGGCGCGCTTCTACGACGACCTCTTCCCCTCCGTCGTCGCCTCCAATCTCCTCGGCGCCCAGCGGCAGCGGCAGGAGCAGCGGCAGCGGCAGTGGACGTCGGCGGAGGGGGAGGTGGATGGGGAGGAGGCGGAGGTCGCGCTCCGTGAAGGCCGCGGCACGGCGAACGCCAGCGGGGCTCCGAACGGCACCTCCCGTGCCTCCGTCTCCGGCTGCCACTGCGTGGGGTGGCGAGGGTGGCACCGCTGTGGGTGGCACTGCTGTGGTTGGTACCGCTGTGGGTGGCACCGCTGTGGGTGGCACCGCCGCGGCGGGTGGCAGTGCCGCCGCCACCGCCGCAGCGTACGTGGCGTGCGTGCGCCGTCTCCGGGGCGAGGTGAACCCCTTCGGGCCGGTGCCGCGCACGATGGAGGCGAGGGTGGAGAGCGCTGTCACCGCCGCCGGCACCTTCGTGCGGGCGCTCAACGCCGGCGTGGAGGTGCGGGGTGCGCGTGCGTGTATGTGTGTGTGTGTGTGTATGTGTGTATGTGTGTGTGTGTATGTGTGTGTATGTGTGTGTATGTGTGTATGTGTGTGTGTGTATGTGTGTGTGTGTGTATGTGTGTGTGCGCGTGTGTAGTCCAGCAAACACGACCCCCTTACCTCCTCGTGGTGCCGGTAGGCAACGCTGTGGTGGGCAGTGCCGGGGTGGGAGGGCGAATTTAGGTTGGCCTTTGCCTTCATAGCGTTTGTAACCCACACAGCGGCCAAATGGGGGCTCTGGAGTGGTGCGAGGGGCTGGTCACCCCTCCACTTTCAATTAACTACCACTAAACTACGATGCAAAAACTTATTAAGCTTGTGCCGGAGGCCCCGGGGGGACAGCTTCTGTGACGTCTCCTGGCCAAACCCCATTTGGCGGAGCCAGAAGACTGAATCCTTACCTTTGGGGCTCCTCCAGAAACAACAAAAAGTCACTTCGGATGGCCACGTGGAATGTTCGAACGCTCACTGCGGAGGAGAGGCTGCCACTCCTCTGTCGGGAGCTGGACCGGTACCGCCTGGATCTCTGTGGTATTCAAGAGGTCCGGTGGACCGGCTCTGGCTCCTGCCATCATGAGGGGTGGACAGTCCTCTATTCGGGGCAGGAGACTGCCAAACAACAGGGAGTGGCTCTTATTCTCTTCTTCTGAACAAAAGAATGAAGGGGGTGTGGGAGCGTGGCGGTGAGGTGTGGGAACCTGTAAGCCCCAGGCTACTTTGGGTTCGCCTTCCCATCAACCAGAGGCAAGGAGTGATGATCGTGGTTCCTTATGCCCCCACCAAAGACAAACATCCGTGGAGGGATGCAGGCAAGGCCGATGAATCAGATGCCTTCTATGACCTCCTGTTACAGTTGCTGGCTAAAGTGGCCCCTCGGGATAGAGTCATCTAGTTGGGTGACTTCAATGCCCGAGTTGGTCATGATGCTGGCACCTGGTCGTGAGTGATTGGAAGACATGGGCCAGATCAGCTCAATAACAATAGTCGGAGGCTGCTAGATGTTTGTGCAGCCCATGGGCTTGTAGTTACCAACACGCTGTTCCGGCATCGGCGCATCCACACAACATCATGGATGCATGCCGGGTCCAAGCAAGAAAATCTGCTGGACTACATAGTGATAGAACAGTGGATGCGGGCCCATATTGTTGACACCAGGACCTACCGTGGAGCCTACTGACCATCGACTTGTCATCTGTAAGGTGTGCCTGCCATTCTTCCACTCCGGTGGTGGGTGTATACCCAAGACCCCATTTAAACCCATAGTGGCATGGTCTCAGCTAGCTGATGAAAATTGCAAGCGAGAATTTCATCATCACTTGCAGCTGGGGTTGGCATCGTCCCCCACTCCAGCTGATGTCGAGGGGAAATGGGCGAGGTTTAGGACTTTGGCTCATGCAGCGGTAATGGCTGCTTTGGGTACACGGTCAAGACCACCTCAGAGACCCTGGATGACAGAGGAGGTGTTCAGGCTGGCTGACAAAAGCGACAGGCCCACTCTCATCGTCTACAGCATCCCACGTCAGAGAATGAGGAGGCTTACCGCAGCCTTCGCTCACAGGTTCAGAGAGCCGTGAGGTGCTGCAAGGATGGTTGGTGGTCGCGGGTTGCTGACGTTTTTGGGTTTAGATCGCGTTATTTATAAATGTGTCGTAAGCCTCCACCACCCGACACGGCCAATCAGTAAAAATGTGTCACGTTGACAAAGACAAATAGTTCACTGCTTTAGCCCACCGGTGTGTTGAAGCCACAACATTTACAATTTGAGTACGACGTTTCGCTGGTAATTGCATCCAGCATCATCCTGTGTGTGCTGGTTAGTTGCTTGGTAACAGCGCTTGCCCCAACAGTCTGTTAAGGCTATATGGGACATCTTTGTCCTTGTTAGTGGGTTTGGTGTGAGTGGATTCGTGGGTTTTTGTGTGGGATTGTGTGAGTGAATTGGAATGTGAGTGGGTCGTTATGTGTGTGAGTGGGTTACACAGTGGCTGTAATAAGTGTGCGTGAACCTGTTAATATGGGTGTGTGTGTTTCTGTCCGTGTGTTCATCCATCGCTCATCTAACCATCTGTTTAATCCGTTCATCTGACCACTTACCCATCCGTTCATGTGTCCATGTTACGCGTGCATATACTTATTTCCCTGCGTGTCCATCCATCACCCCCCATTCACTCACACACTTGCCCACCCGTTCATCCACTCGCCCACCCACCAATTCACCCGCTCACCCATTCATCCACTCGCCTACCCACTCACCCACCCACCCACTTACCCATCTACTCACCCACCCATCCACTCACCCATCCACCCACTCTCCCACCCACTCACCCACCCACCCATCCACTCACCCACCCACTCATCCCACCCGCTCATCCATTCGCCCACCCACCTACTCACCCACCCACTCACCCATCCGCTCATCCACCCACTCGTCCACTCACCCACCCACTCACCCGCCCGCTCACCCACCCACCCATCCACTCACACACCCACTCACCCACCGGCTCATCCATTCGCCTACTCACCCACTCACCCACTCACCCACCCACTCACCCATCCGCTCATCCACCCACTCGTCCACTCACCCACCCACCCGCTCACCCACCCGCTCATCCACTCGGCCACTCACCCACCCACCCACGCACCCACCCACCCACTCACTCACCCGCTCACCCACCCGCTCACCCACCCGCCCACCCACCCACTCAAGCGCACCCACCCACTCACTCACCCACTCACCCACCCGCTCACCCGCCCACCCGCCCACCCACCCACTCACCCACCCACTCACCCACTCACCCACCCACCCACTCACTCACCCACCCACCCACTCACCCACCCACTCGCCCACTCACCCACCCACTCACTCACCACCCACTCACCCACTCACCCACCCACTCGCCCACTCACCCACCCACCCACCCACTCACCCACCCACTCACCCACTCACCCACCCACCCACTCACTCACTCACCCACCCACCCACCCACTCACCCACCCACCCACTCACCCACCCACTCACCCACTCACCCACCCACCCACCCACTCACCCGCTCACCCACCCACTCACTCACCCACCCACCCACTCACCCACCCACTCACCCACTCACCCACCCACTCACCCACCCACCACTCACCACCACCACCACGCAGGTGATCAACATGACGGAGCACGTGGCCGTGTCACGCGACTGCGCCCTGGTGCTGCTGCGCGTGCAGTACTGCGCGCACTGCCGCGGCCTCACGCTCATCAAGCCGTGCGGGGGGCTCTGCCTGAACGCGCTGCGCGCCTGCCTCGCCGGCGTGCCCGCCCTGGACCCCCACTTCAGGGAGTTCGTCGCGGGAATCGGGCGTCTCGGTGGGGACCCCCCCCCCATCCCCTCCGCCACCCCCCTACACTCCCCCAGCCCCCCCCCCCATCCTCCCCATCCCCCACTACCGCCACCCACATCATCACTGGGGAGACAAAGGCGGCCGGGCGTGGTGCTGGCCACCGTAGCAGCACTTGCCCGTGCCTCCCCCGCATGTCCCCCGTGTCTCTCCACGTGTCTCTACACGTCCCCCCACGTGTCCCCCCTGTCCTCACGTCTCTCCACGTGTCTCTACACGTCCCCCTACGTGTCTCTCCACGTGTCCTCACGTCTCTCCCACGTGTCACCCCCTGTCCTCACGTCTCTCCCCGTGTCCTCACGTCTCTCCCACGTGTCCCCCCTGTCCTCACGTCTCTCCACGTGTACTCACGTCTCTCCACGTGTCCCCATGTCTCTCCCACGTGTCCCCCCGTGTCTTCACGTTTCTCCACGTGTCCCCACGTGTCTTCCACGTGTCCCCCCGTGTCTTCACGTTTCTCCACGTGTCTCCCACGTGTCCCCACGTTTCTCTCCCACGTCTCTCCACGTCTCCCCACGTGTCCCCCCGTCTCCTCACGTGGCCTCACGTCTCCCCCGCGTGTCCCCACGTGTCCCCACGTCCCCCCCAACGTGTCTCTCCACGTCTCTCCCACGTGTCCCCACGTGACCTCACGTCTCCTCACGTCTCCCCACGTGTCTCTCCACGTCTCTCCCACGTGTCCTCACGTCTCCTCACGTCTCCCCACGTGTCTCTCTACGTCTTTCCCACGTGTCCCCACGTGGCCTCACGTCTCCCCACGTGGCCTCACGTCTCCCCCACGTGTCTCCCCCACGTGCCCCCCCCCACCCCCGTGTGCCCCCAGGCTCCAGGCTGCTGGCTCCACCGTCGGACATCCAGCATACGCTGCTGGGGACGCGTGACCTCGTCGCTGGCGCGTTGCTGCACGCACGCGTGCACGCCCAGAGGATCCTCGCCATGGTGAGTCGTAGGTACATACTTCACCACTCTGGTTGGTGGTGAGCCAAATGATTGTGTCACGGTGGCTAAGAGATGTTGACTACCTCGCCTGGTGTACAGGAGGTCGTGGGTTCAATCCCGACCCTGACACATGCTGCTGTGTATTTGGAGTTTGCGTGTTTCTATCATCATCATCATCATCATCACGGTGGCTAGGAGATGTTAACTACCTCGCCTGGTGTACAGGAGGTCGTGGATTTTATCCAGATACTGACGCCTGCTGCTGTAGATTTGGAAGTTGTGTGTCTCTTTTTCATCATCATCACGGTGGCTAGGAGATGTTGACTAGCTCGCCTGGTATACAGGAGGTCGTGGGTTCGATCCCGACCCTGACGCCTGCTGCTGTGTATTTGGAGTTTGCGTGTCTCTCTTTCTCTCATCATCATCACGGTGGCTAGGAGATATTAACTACCTCGCCTGGTGTACAGGAGGTCGTAGGTTCGAATCTGACCCTGACGCCTGCTGCTGTGTATTTGGAGTTTGCGTGTCTCTCTCTCTCTGTCTCATCCTCACGGTGGCTAGGAGATGTTAACTACCTCGCCTGGTGTACAGGAGGTCGTGGATTTTATCCCGACCCTGACGCCTGCTGTAGATTTGGAGGTTGCGTGTCTCTCTCTCTCTCCCCAGTAGTCTCCGTGTCTTGCGAGTTTCCCCTGCACATTTAGACTCAACATCGTGCCTCTAGACTCTTTGGCAGCTGTACGTTTCCACGTAATGACAAGCCACTTTGTTGAGCTGTCATTTGTGGCCAAATCGCTTCTGAAAAAAATATTAGATAGCTCAGCGTGCCTTACCTGGTCAAATATATAAACACAAACATTCAATAGTCTAGCGTCAGGCGTGGCGGAGTGGCGAATCATTCATGCTGGGATGATATCCACTTTGTATCGATATCAGTGTGAGTCTATGGGTCTCCATGTGAGTCTATGGGTCTCTGTGTTGAGTCTATGGGTCTCTGTGTTGAGTCTATGGGTCTCTGTGTGAGTCTATGGGTCTCTGTGTTGAGTCTATGGGTGTCTGTGTTAGTCTATGGGTCTCCGTGTGAGTCTATGGGTCTCTGTGTTGAGTCTATGGGTCTCTGTGTTGAGTCTATGGGTCTCTGTGTTGAGTCTATGGGTCTCTGTGTGAATCTATGGGTGTCTGTGTTGAGTCTATGGGTGTCTGTGTTAGTCTATGGGTCTCCGTGTGAGTCTATGGGTCTCTGTGTTGAGTCTATGGGTCTCTGTGTTGAGTCTATGGGTCTGTGTTGAGTCTATGGGTCTGTGTGAGTCTATGGGTCTGTGTTGAGTCTATGGGTCTGTGTTGAGTCTATGGATCTGTGTTGAGTCTATGGGTCTGTGTTGAGTCTATGGGTCTGTGTTGAGTCTATGGGTCTCCGTGTGAGTCTATGGGTCTCTGTGTTGAGTCTATGGGTGTCCGTGTGAGTCTATGGGTCTCTGTGTGAGTCTATGGGTCTCTGTGTGAGTCTATGTCCCGTGTGAGTCTATGGGTCTCTGTGTTGAGTCTATGGGTCTCCATGTGAGTCTATGGGTCTCTGTGTTGAGTCTGTGGGTCTCTGTGCGAGTCTGTGGGTCTCTGTGCGAGTCTATGGGTCTCTGTGTGAGTCTATGGGTCTCTGTGTGACTCTATGGGTCTCCGTGTGAGTCTGTGGGTCTCTGTGTGAGTATATGGGTCTCCGTGTGAGTCTATGGGTCTCTGTGTGAGTCTATGGGTCTCTGTGTGAGTCTATGGGTCTCTGTGTGAGTCTATGGGTCTCTGTGTGAGTCTATGGGTCTCCGTGTGAGAGTATGGGTCTCTGCGTGAGTCTATGGGTCTCTATGTGAGACTGTGGGTCTCTGTGTGAGTCTATGGGTCTCTGTGTGAGTCTATGAGTCTCCGTGTGAGAGTATGGGTCTCTGCGTGAGTCTATGGGTCTCTATGTGAGACTGTGGGTCTCTGTGTGAGTCTATGGGTCTACGTGTGACTCTATGGGTCTCTGTGTTAGTCTATGGGTCTCCATATGAGTCTATGGGTCTCCATGTGAGTCTATGGGTCTCTGTGTGAGTCTATGCGTCTCTGTGTGAGTCTATGGGGCTCTGTATAAGTCTATGGGTCTCTGTGTGAGTCTATGCGTCTCTGTGTGAGTCTATGGGTCTCTATGTGAGTTTATGGGTCTTTGTGGGTCTTTGTTATGAGCCTGTGGGTGTCTTTGGAGTCTATGGGTCTCAGTGTGAGTATATAGGTATCGGTGTGAATATAAAGGTCTCAGTGTGAATATGTAGGTCGCTATATGAGTCGTATGGTGTGAACCTATAGATCTTGTTTTTCCGCGTGGCCTGTGCGGATGTAGAGCAACGGCTGTAGTGCAACATCTTCTTTGATCACGTAGTTCGAGAAGCTTTCCATGCAGCTGTACCGGAGGAATCTCCATCTGGTCGAGCAGATACAATGGCAGGCTTAACGATGCACGGGTGCGGTCAAGGGATGGCTCCCTATTGGTCAACCATGTCACGTGCGCAGATAATCTGATATAATTGCTGCTCGCTCTGAGAAGCAATAGTTTGATGCTCTGCTGCTGAATCTGGAGCGTGCCACTAAGAGGTGGGGCCTTACCATCAGCCCCCTACTAACACAAAGCACCTGTAAGAATATGTTCTACCCTTTCTGGCAAATAAAAACAGTTGTATTTTGACTTTAAACCCCCCGTAACACCTCCTACGCATTTCACAAGTAGTACTAGTCGCATATATGCATTTGCATAAATATGCAAAAAATTCCTCTTAATATGCAAATTATTTTGTCAAGGCGCTCTTCGCCCCTCCACCCCAGCTTAAATAGACGCTCCAAGCCTAGGACGTGTCATTCAGACTCTGTCTTATCGACAGACCTGTTCTTCACCTGAGGACGACTGCTTGCGTTGTGGCCGAAACGTCGTGAGAATTATTTTATTATGTTTTATTTTATTATTTTATTACTTCCATTCTACGTGACTTTACCGAAAGAACCAAGAAGAAAAAAACAGTTGCGTTTAGATGTTAAAACAGCAAACAGAAACCTTTTTTGCAAGGAATCGTGTCTGCGTTAACCACACATGCTTGTGATGAAAATGCACTGGTAGTCTATGATGATGCATCTGCTTTGAAACTTGATGGTTCCACACCAGAGACAGCTTTCTTTAGAGCCCAGTCTCAACCAGTGCCAGACGAGAGGACGTCAAAAGGCGGACGGCACACAGACAATGAACTAGCGATCAGGGCATTTGTACCTCGGGCGGAGCAGCTACATAATGGGACCTATTCTTATATTTTGAGACTGGCAAGGGAGGCCCCATGACAAAGCACCTGCCTGGGTATTTTTAAATCCTTTATATTAAGTTCGCTTGCTTGCTTGCGCGCTTACGACCGTGCAAATCTTTCGGTCGTTTTTTATTTAAATCCTTTATATTAAGTTTGATTGCTTGCTTGCTTGCGCGCTTACGACCGTGCAAATCTTTCAGTCGTTTTTAACCCACTTCCCGTGATCCAATCGAGCTGACATTTTTCCACACAGACTCGTTGTGCGAGACAATTAATTTTCGTGAAATAATTGTTCAAAATGTTTACACTTTTTAGGAACAAAGAATTCTATGTAATTACCAATTGCTTAATGGTGGCAGGCAATCATCTGACCCATAGGTGGCAGCCATCTCAAGCCAGAGGACGAGAGGACTCTAGCCGCCACGCATATAAAGGATTTATAGTGAAAAACTTTGTTTTTACGGGTTAATTTTTTATGTCATCAAATACTCCACCACGTCAATTCCCTTTGAATTATGAGACAGTCCCTGAGAGAGTGGAGAGATTTACCCGTGCCTGTGTATTGTGCCTACGACCAACTCCGGTTTGGCAGCAGAGGCGTTAGTGGTGGTGATAGTGGTGGCGTTAGTGGTGGTGACAGTGGTGGTGTTAGTGGTGGTGATAGTGGTGGTGATAGTGGTGGTGATAGTGGTGGTGTTAGTGGTGGTGATAGTGGTGGTGTTAGTGGTGGTGTTAGTGGTGGTGATAGTGGTGGTGCTAGTGGTGGTGATCGCGGTGGTGTTAGTGGTGGTGATAGTGGTGATGATAGTGGTGGTGTTAGTGGTGGTGATAGTGGTGGTGATAGTGGTGGTGATAGTGGTGGTGTTAGTGGTGGTGATAGTGGTGGTGATAGTGGTGGTGATAGTGGTGGTGTTAGTGATGGTGATAGTGGTGGTGCTAGTGGTGGTAATATTGGTGGTGTTATTGGTGGTGTTAGTGGTGGTGATAGTGGTGGTGCTAGTGGTGTTGATCGCGGTGGTGTTAGTGGTGGTGATAGTGGTGATGATAGTGGTGGTGATAGTGGTGATAGTGGTGGTGTTAGTGGTGGTGATAGTGGTGGTGATAGTGGTGGTGTTAGTGGTGGTGTTAGTGGTGGTGTTAGTGGTTAGTGGTGGTGATAGTGGTGGTGATAGTGGTGGTGATAGTGGTGGTGATAGTGGTGGTGCTAGTGGTGGTGATAGTGGTGATAGTGGTGATGTTAGTGGTGGTGATAGTGGTGGTGATAGTGGTGGTGCTAGTGGTGGTGATAGTGGTGATAGTGGTGGTGATAGTGGTGGTGATAGTGGTGGTGATAGTGGTGGTGCTAGTGGTGGTGATAGTGGTGATAGTGGTGGTGATAGTGGTGGTGCTAGTGGTGGTGATAGTGGTGATAGTGGTGGTGTTAGTGGTGGTGATAGTGGTGGTGCTAGTGGTGGTGATAGTGGTGATAGTGGTGGTGATAGTGGTGGTGATAGTGGTGGTGATAGTGGTGGTGCTAGTGGTGGTGATAGTGGTGATAGTGGTGGTGCTAGTGGTGGTGATAGTGGTGATAGTGGTGGTGTTAGTGGTGGTGATAGTGGTGGTGATAGTGGTGGTGTTAGTGGTGGTGTTAGTGGTGGTGTTAGTGGTTAGTGGTGGTGATAGTGGTGGTGATAGTGGTGGTCCTAG